TCTTGTAAGAAAAATCCCTGGGAGTTTCACAGGGGCTCCATTTCTGTTTACTGTTGTTTTTTAGCAGAACTACAGTTTACATTTTAGGTACTTCACACTCTAGAGCTTCCAGAGCTTACTTTACTTAAACAGTAAAAACATCATGAACTCCCCAGCCCAGCCATCAGTTGCAGGCAAACAAACAACCCTAAAGCAGAGCACTTAATGAATTCAGAGCATCAGTTGCAGGTCATGAATAAGCAAGTTCAAAGTATGCAAATCCAGTGATTAAAATTTCTGCCTAGGATATGTTACCAAAGTGAAAACATGTTTTATCTTGCGTTGCAGTAATTTTTTATTCCTTGCCAAGATGTAAAAATCCTCTTTTTTTTTTTTTGTTACTGAAGCATAAACGAGAACAGTTTAAACACCAAACAATTTTTACGGTCAGCAATATACTGATTCAAATCTTACATAAGGTATAAGACCTGACTCAAATATTCACTTGCCTATACCATCTTCCTCAGAACCTTACAGACAACAAGAGTTTACAAAGCAGAACTTTACAAAAGAAGGGAAGTTTACAACAGCTTCCCCACACACAGCCAGCTGAATATTATTTGCTTACCAAAAAAGAGAAGCTGTAATGCTTTACTGAGTTGTCCCAATCAACAATACAAAAAACTTGATTGAGGTTTTAAATACCCCTTCAAAAAAAAAAAAAAAAAAAAGAGAAAGAAAAAGGAGAGAGAGAGAAGGGGTTTGGGGCACTGCAACTCAATACTTTTAACAGCCCATAACTCCTTCCCTGGGATAGAAACACGGATGAATATGAGACAAAGACAATCACAGATGGCCAGACCAAGCCACTTTTGATCACTCAGTTGCCATCTAACATGGCCTCCTCACCAGAGCTTGTCTTCCTCATGCTGCTGTCAAGTGGGGAGCTCTGGCTGCCCTGGTGACAGCATCCACACGGAAAGGACACCAGGAACCCTGACCATTCTTTGTGACACACAGGTTTCCAATGCTGGCTGTTATGTTCACAGCTACCTGGCTCTGTGACTCTCTCCTACTGCTGTCACCAGCTGCAAGTTCTTTCTACTTACAGATACACAACTGAAGTCCACACCACTAAAGCAGACCTTTAAAACACTGACAGGTGTTATGCTGCTGCAGTACACACATTTTTATGAGATTTCTAAAAAGAATAAGAAACATATGTCAACACCAACACTCGAAGCAGTGCTAGCTTCTGCCCCAGCTACAGCCGGTGGCATCACGGTATAACGAGAGCCGTGGGACAGCTCTGGGTGACCCACAACCTTCAAGTTCATGAGGTAAATGCCCAGAAGAGTCTGCGACTCCTCGACTGAGCGCTGTCTGTGCAGGGCACACAGCTAGAGCTCAACCCCTCGCCATTCCCGCACCCCGCTGCGTTTCAGGGCTCCGGTGGCACGGCACACCCAGCCCAGCCCGCAGCCCCTCGGGGCTTCTCCCACAGCCCCGGGCGCAGCCGGGCCGCACCGAGCGCGGAGGGCCGCGGCTGGGCCGGGCCGGGCAGGGCGGGGCCGGGCCGGGCCGGGCCAAGGGAGCGCGGCCGGGCCTCGCCACGGCCGCGGGAACGCTTCCTGCGCCGCTCCGAGGGTCCAGCCCGCCCGCCCGCCGCCCGGAAGGCGGAGAACGGTGTTGAGGAGAAGCGGCGGACATGCCCACCGTCTCAACACACCAGCCCCACAAAGGAAGCGCCCACCAGCAGCCACCGGGACCCGCCGGGAGGAGGCCGCCCTTCCCCCCGGCAGGCGGCTGCTGCGGAGGCCCCGCACACACAGCGGGCCCGGCAGGGCGGCTCCCGCACAGCGGGCGCTCCGAGCGAGGTGGAGGCCGGGGGTCTGTGGGTGCGTGCCGGGCGGGGATCGGGGGCAGTCGGTGGTCCCGGGGTCCCGGTGCCCGGCCGGGGGTCCCGGTGCCGTCTCCGCCCCCCTCCACCTCCCCACCCCCTCCCGCTCTCACCTCGGACGCTCCGCCGGGCGTTGGCAGCTCACTGCGGGGTCTCCTCGGCGCAGGCACAGGGGCAGCCGGTTGACGTCACCGCGCAGCGTGCCGGCGAGGGGCGTGGCCGGCTACAGCGCCCCCTGCCGGCCGCGCGCCGCTGCTCGCAGGGCCCCGCGCGGGCCGCCAGGGGGCGCGCGAGGGCACGGCCTGTGAGGCGCCGGCCTCAGCGCCCCAGCTCACTCCCTCGGGGTTTTCTTTTCTTTTTTGTCTTTTCTCCCTGGACCCGAAAGGAGAAAAACCCACAGTTCCTCCTGCTGGGACACTCCTCCAAGCTGGGAGATGATAGCCCAGAGCAGCGGGCAGTTATGGTGGGTAAAATCCCCTTAACCTCCCCTATCCTTCAGGAACAAGAGGCCAGGAAGAAAATCTCCTGGCGCAGCCGCTTTGGGAAGCAAAGCAAGAATCTGGTCTGAAACAGAAAACTCCGGAGTAATTTTAATTTTAAAAGCTTTGTATTGTACCAATTAAAAGCATTGCAAGTACCAGTGCCAGCAGCCTCAAGTCACCAAACGCTGGCTCTGGGGAGCACCTGGAATGGGTCAAACCCTGGGAGCATCTTTGTGTTGGGCCTCCTAAACGAGCCTAAATGGTTCATCTGCATGGCCAAAGACAGAACAAAACCCACTCTGCCCAATGTAATGGTGTCAGAAGCATATCTGTGCCTTCTTCTGTAAATATTGGCCGTCCTTGGGGATTTTGGAAAGAGCCATTGCCTTCCGAATATGCTCACTGCTGCCCTGAGCACTCAAAAAAGAGCAAAGGAAGAGGAATATTTTCAAAAGAATTTTCTTGAAGGATTTTCTTCATGAAGAAATCGTGAATGGATGTCAGTGTCTCACTGTCTCATCCAACTGACTTTGGATGAAATCCCTGCGCTGTCAAGCACAAAGGCACCAACAGGGTAGAGTCTGAGTTGAGTGGAAGAGATCACAAACCTGGAGAGGCCCTGAAGTCTCCCACAGGGCACCATCTCCTCCTTTCTCCTGAAACTCATCCTCGCCACAAGCATTACAGGAGGCTCCACCTCAGCCTCCTGCCACCAGCTTCATCCTTATCTGTGTTCCAGATTATGGGTTGCTTTGGCTCCAAAGCACCTTCCAGTATTTCTGATGATGCCTCAGTTCTTTGGCTTTAATTAGATCCCAACAATGCAGAAGCAATTTTGGGGGAATGGTTCCCCCTTTCCATCAACCTCTCCTGCAACAGCTTCATTCCCCACTTCCCACAGTGGCAAGAACACTGTGCATGACTGAGCTCATCACCTCTGTGTCCTGTCTCTTGAGGCCTCCTTTGTGCTTTCATACAAAGCCATAGTGGTTTTGCTTTTTGGGGGCAAATCCAAGAGAAAGACTTGACAGTGCCTAGAGGAACTGCAGAACACCGGTGAGTTGTGGGGTATGGAGGGCCAGGGGTGTCTTCTGAAAACTACTGACATTCCACCAAAGGCTACAGAGGTCCACAACCACCACCTCCCAATCCTCTTGTGCATGCCATGGTACAGCTATTAATGATGGAAATGAATAAAACCAGGGCAGGAATCCCCAGTTCCCAGAGGAGCATAAATCAACACACATGAAGAGCTGGTGTTGCTGTAATTAGCACCACACAAAGCCCATGCAGTAATTAACTTTCTCCCTTCCAAGTTAAGATTTAATAGCATGCAGTAAAATCAGACCCAAGGCGATGAAACAAGCAGAGAAAAACTCCGTCAAATTAGGCACCTGTGACTTGATAAGGAATTAATTATAGCCTGGTCTACTACTACTACTAATAATAATAATAATAAATTGCTGAGTGCTCCAAGTGAGGAAAGACATTGAGAAAAATGTCCCATATTGAATCCAAGGAGCAGCTTTCAGCCATGCTGGGATGTAGGTGACCTACTGCACTGGACAGAGCTGGGAGAAAAAAATCTGGGACAAAAAAAATCCTGGGCTGCTAGGGAGCTGCCCCAAACCTCCCAACCTCTGTAACACCAGCAGGGAACAGCTCTTTCCATGAGGAACTGCCACCAGCCTTGAGCATCTCCCAAGGCAACTCCCAGTGTGTGGGGATGAGGACAGAGGGACACCAGAGATCGAGGCAAGGCTGTATCCTGCAAAAACTCCAGCAATGGCGAAACACAGTGACAATGCTGGTCCCCAAGGGTTTTGATTTTGCAGATGCCCTCACAGTTCTCCACCAAGAAGCACCAACTCCATCCATAGCAGGCCCAGACCCCAGGGTCAGAATTCAGCTCCTACAAGTGGTCCCCAACCCTCCCATGTTGCCCGTGGAGGTGGCAAGGCCACTGTGTACATGCAATGCCTGGAGCAGCATATAAGATCACCTTGTCATGGCATGAAAGTGAGCAAGTCATGGCAGGATCCAACCAGATATAGTGTTACATGCCAGGATCCAACCTGGACATCCTCTCTGTCAATAAATTCCAACTTTGGCTCCTCACAGAAGAGCAGGCAAGTTCCTGAAGAAGCCCTGTGTGGCTGGGCAGAGGGAGGGTATCTCCTTGGCAGCTCTGGTCTTTACTTTTCCCTAGTTTTCCTAGGTGGAAAAAAAATGCTGGAGGTGTCCTACCAGCTCCACGTGCCACTAAGTCTCCCTGGCAAAGCTAAAGGTATTTTTGCCATGCAGAAAGAACACAGGGCCTGTTTTGGTGATACATGTGAGGTCAAAGTTGATTTATTTTACTCTCCCCACTGCTCTGGCATAAAGTCATCCAGTATCCTGTCTCTACCAGGCAGCTCATGCACTCAGATTCAAGGGGTAATGGATGAGGATGTGAAACACACATCATCTGGAGAGCACCTGCATGGCACTGTTGAGGATGTTCTTTCCAGAGAAGAGAGCTTCAGGTCACCCCATGTTCCCAGCTCAGGGACCATGACCAGCTAGGACAGAGACCAGAACATTCATCACAGCAGACCCTTTGCCACAGGCTTTTGACCACTCTTCCCAGGCCATAGAGCTCTCTAAACATGTGCATTTTAATAAGGGGAAAAATCCAGCCCTGAGATTATTACCTGACTCAAGCACTCACAGTGAGGTACACCAGAGCCAGGCAGATAGGAGATGTTATTTTACAGCATTATCACATGTGCCCCAAGAATTTCTGCTTTTTCCTCCAAGTGCTCTTGGAACTCACACCTTCTGGTATCACCTGTCTCTTGCTACAGCTTGGCATAGATCAATGAAGTAAATTATTGAATTACTAGAAAATCCAGTAAGACTGAATGCAGAATTAGTCTCCTTAAAGCACAGAGCAATCAGCATTTTTGTTTCTTGGTCTCTTTCATTGCCCTGCCTTTGGCAGCATACAGGCAGTGTCCCCTCACTCAGGGACTGTGCTCAGGGGGTCCTGTGTGGTCACTTGTGTGACTTGGTCAGGCCCTGGAAGTTGGGCTCCGTGCACGGGGGCAGTGCTGCCTGCCGGCTCAGCAGCTTCTCCAGGACAGTTATTTCAGCATCTCGTCTCTCAATGTCCTCAAACGGAGTCCAGGACATGTCATGCTGGAGCTTATAGGCACCAAGAAATTCATGGGGGGTGGTACCCCATTCCTGGTGGAGAAAAGAGAGATTCCATCAGTGCTCAGTTTCCCTTGGAACTAGGTTGTGCTGTCCCTCAGCCCTGCTACCTTCAAAGCAGCCCCAGCTACATGACCATCCCATTTCCTAACCTAAAAATAGGCTCAGCTGCCCTGAGTCTAAGATCAGGTCAAGCTCCAGCACTGCTGACACAAGAAGGTTTGTGGACACAAAATCTCCCTGACCTGGCCCAGAGCTTTGCCCTGAAGCCTCCACCCTGCATGTAAGAAAATGGGTGGTTTGGAAGGAGAAGGAGGAGACCTCCAAGACCATCCCCTCAGCTGCAGCTGGGCTGAAAGAGCCCATCCTGCCAGGCAGCCAGGGAAGGCTCAGGGCACATTGGCAGTTCTTCCAGACAGAGAACCGCAGGTACCAAAAGACAAAATTCAGGTCCATGCCCCAAAGGGCTTCTTGCCATTCTCCACCAAGAGCCAGGAAAGTCCATAAGATGGCTCTGGCCCCAGCAGGCTAATCCAGAGCCCCATCAAGCTGATGCTTTTGCCTGAGCTCCATATGTTCCTAAGCACCAGAAACATGACTTTTTTCTCCTCCCTTCTTCTTCATGGGCTGTAACCACCCACCTTAGGAGACAGGATAGAGAAATACCGCTGCCCACTCTCCCGCCTGTACATGTAGTAAATATTTCCTGGCTTCTTCACAAGGTTGCAGGCCACGTGGTTCAGATCAGCATCCCTGTTAGCTTCATCCAAGACCTGGAATACACAAAACTTACCATTTTTACACTTGAAATAAAATGACAACATGCTATTGCCTCTCAGCCATAGCCCAAGACACATCACTTGACCTATGGGTCATTGATGTCCCTGGCACACAGGAAGGAGATGTTTTCCAAAGAGATAAAGTTTTTTCTGATTCTTCCCTGTCAGCAGGACTTCAGAGAAACTCCACAGAGGTGGAGATACCTCTGCATCTCACCCCAGATTCACCTCTACACTTGACACCACTACATCCTGGGCTTATTCCTCATCTCTGCACACAGCTGCTGGACACTGGGGCCTTCCTGCTGTGCCCCGCAAGGGAAGGAGCAGCAAACAAAGGAGAATTCATCTCCCCAGCTCCACCACCTGACTGCTCCACTGCTCCAGCTCCACCAGTTAATGATTACATGATGTAATGGCCTCAATGGCAGTGAGCCAGTTGCAGTGACTGGCAGATCCTTCCCCACTCTGGCTCCAGATTTCACCCCTAAGGGTGAAGGCTGGATTGATGAGCACAGCCAAGCCCTGCTGTGTGCTGCTGGGACCACTCACTCCAGCAAATGAGCCAGGATCAACGGGAAAGCCAAGCTTATCATCAGGTAAGAGCTCATCTCTCCCAGGGCCTCAGATCCAGCTAGGGACACATCGTCACTTCACCAGATCCTTCCAAGAGCACAGTGCACACACAGGTCACCTGTCCCAAAACCAGAGTCATGTCTCTCTGTCCTGACACCCAAGCTGTTTTGGATCACCTGCCCTTGCTCCCCTACTTTTATTCAAAGTCCTTCCTGGTATGCTCAGGATGCAGGGAAAGCACTGAAATCAACCCTTCCCCATCCCCCTTGACACTGGACAATAAACCTCCTTATTTTTCCATCAAATCTTCTCTGCTCAGCTCCTGGCCTCAACTCACACCTAGGCCACAGCTCTCCCCAAATGCCCAGCAGTGGCAGCAGATGCTCATCACCCCAGGCAAGGCAATGAGCCTTCTGCCCATCCTCACTCACCTTGCGTGCCTGTTCCTGCAGGTACCGGATCTGCTCAGCGATGACTGTCAGCTTGCTGCAGGCGTTTGCTCGGACAAAGTCATCGGCCTGGGACAGAAAATCAGGGCTGGTCAGGACAGGAAGAACCGCAGCCCTGTAGACTGTGCTGAGCCACACAGTCTACGGTCTGCTCAAGGCATCAACAGAGCTGGGGAGTGCAGGAGCAAGGACCAGGAGCTGTCTGGATAGGCTGAGGGGCAGTGAGGGGGAGCAGCAGGACATACTGGGAGACACTGGGTTGGACTGGTAGTGGGATGCACTGGGAAGAGGCAGTAGGACATACACTAAGCATTTGGGTGAACTGAGAAGCTCTGGGGGACATCACTGGAGTACAGGATGTGCTATGAAGCATGGGGTTACAGTGTTACGTAGTGGAGGGCACTGGGAGGACCAGTTGCCAGTTGGACATATCAGGAAAAGCTGGGATGGACTAAAAAGGCAGGGAATCACTGAAGCAGTCACAGGACATATGGATCTAGGATGGACTGGGAGTGTGGGAGTGGGAGGCATCTGTAAACGCTGCTGTGAACTAAAGATAGTGGGATATACTGGGATGCAGCAGTGCATACTGGGGTGGGACTTCAGTGGGATGCTCTAGGAGTCACTGTGGGGCAGCACAGTGGGAAGCACTGAAATGCAATGGAAGGTTCTGGAGACACCAACAGCGTGGTGGTATCGGGAAGATACTGGCACAGTGAAATACTGGGAGGGGACAGTGGGACACGGTGGGAAACATCACAGGACACACCAGGAGGCCGCCGAGGCCACCGGAGAGCAGCGGGACGTTCTGGTAGGCACCAAGGCCGCCGCAGGTCCCGAAGACAGCCGGGAGGCAGCGCGACAGCGAGCCCAGCCCTGCCCCGGCAGCCCCGCCGCTGGGACCAGGCCCTCACCTGCTGCACCTGCCGGGCCAGGGCCACTAGGTCATCGGGGTCCCCGACGCGGCCGGCACGCCCGGCGCTGCCCTCGACCAGGGCCAGCCCAGGGTCGGGACCGGGACCGGGACCCGGACCGGGGCCGGGGCCATCATCCCCCGGTTCCGCGCCGCCCTCCGCCATCGCCCCACCGCTTCCGCCCGGGGGGGCGGCTTCCGCTGAGGCGTCAGCACGCGCGCTGGGGGCGGGGCCATGGCGGCGCTCTGCGGCCGCTGATTGGGCGGGGGCGGGGCGGGGGCGGGGCCAGTCCCGCTCCGCTGCCCGGGCGGGGGTGCCGCGGCCCGGCCGGCGCTCGGACATGGCGCTACCGCCGCCGCCGCTTCTGCTGCTGCTGCTGCCGCCGGTGCTGCTGGCGCTGCTGGCGCGGGCGGTCACGCCACAGGAACCGGTCCCGGTCCCGACCCTGGCACCGGGCGACCCGCCGTTGCCCGCCCAGCCCCCGGACGCGCTGTTCGCCGCCGGTGCCGAGGCGTACGCGCGGGGGGACTGGCCCACCGTTGTGCTGCAGATGGAGCGGGCGCTGCGGGCGCGGGCCGCCGTGCGCTCCCGCCTGGCGCGGTGCCGCCTGCGCTGCGCCAACACCACCGCGGGGCCGGCGGAGGGCACCGAGTCCCAAAGCGACCCGGTGCTCCGGGACTTGTGGTACTTTCGGGCGCTGCTTCACCGCGCCGCCTGCCTGCGGGACTGCGGGCCCGCCGCGCCCTCCCGGTACCGCCTGGCCGAGGAGCTGGACCGGGAGTTCAGCCGGCGCAGCCCCTACAACTACCTCCAGGTCGCCTATTTCAAGGTGCGGCACCGGCAGCGACGGAGGGAAGGGAAGGGGGTGGCCCACCACGACGGGATTTGGGACGGGCGGGATGCATGGAGGATCCCGCAATCAGGCGGGAGGATGGACGGGTGGGACCGGCCGGTGGCGATCCCGGGACGCCGGGAGGGTTCGGTGTCTGCCCCGGCAGAGTGGGGTTGCCGACCGGCAGCCCCGGCTTTGCCCTCCGCTCCTTCGCGGCCCCCCCCCCCCCCCCCCCGCTCC